TCCTCCCTTTACTACCCTTGCACGGCTGGTTTGCTGTGCTGGACCGGTCGCTTTCTCCCCACTCCTGGGTTGCGAGAGTTAAAAAGTTGCGTGTCCGGTGTGCAGAAGGCAATGTTCTGCTAATGTGGGTCTTTCTTCCGGTTGGGTTTGGCGCTTCACCCTTCTTAACAATTGCTAAGCGCATCCCGCAACTGAGTCGATGTGGGACTGAACGAGTTGGGTAGTAGGCATAGATCCGAGCTGAGGTGGCAAACTGGTAGGCGTCAGAGTCGAGGTGTACTGAAGAGGTGAGTGGCTCATATGCGGTTGAAGCCACGGATTTGAAATGGCATTGTTGGCATCGATCCATAAGGAGCCGAAGGAGCCGTCAATGGGTGCGTAGGGTGCCGTGGTACTCGTCATCGGTGAAGCCTGAGGGATCCACTGGTAGTTCATGGCGTCCCGGTGAAAGGCAGGCAAAGCAAGGTAGTGAACATGATCGACCTATACATGTATGTGCCCGGCCTTGATTACCTAGCTGAATGAATGTGATATGCACATGCGTGAGATTCCAAACTGGAGTTGATCTCAGTAAGCCCTGCGGCAAATAATCAGTGGTATCGAGCAGAACAGTCAAGCCTGTGAGGATCAAACGAAGTTCCGAGGTGGAAAGAAATCCCCCGCCAGGATCTGGGTCTATGCGCATGCAGCGCCCCTCGACGGGGATCACACCACAGCCCTCAGTGCGACTCTGTGGCGATACGCGCTTATAGATGGTTGCTCGCAAGAGCTAGGATCAGTATGAAGCCCCACTTTACACGCATCAGACCTTGACTGAAAAAAGCGCAAAAGGAAAGGTGATGGGTCCGCAGATTTGAAGGTGTTTTAACAAGGGCAACTCCCGATGACAGCTTAAAAATTCCAGCGTGGTCAATATTGGACTGAAGTTCTGCTTTCTTTGCCAGGCTCGCTTCTTTCTTTGTGGCTCCCCCCCCGGCTGTGGCAACTTGCAAGTTCTTTTGTGGGGAAACTCCTTTCCATCCCCGGATGCAAAGCCCCGCATCCCCAGTGCCCGGTGGTGGGCCGGCTACGCAAACCTTCCCCTCAGTTCAGCCTTCCACCTGGCGTTAACCAAGGCTTCTAGCTAAACCGAGGTGCAGGCGCGCCCGTGCTCGACACCACTCCAAGGACATTCCACGATGCACAGTGGCCAGCAAGGACCTGTCGTTGCCTTGCCTGACGTGAGTGTTGGGCTCATGACCTGCGTTTCAGGTGTTCTCTACCCACCCGCACAAGTGAGCGCAGCCACTATTCAAGACTGCCTCTACTCATGTGACGCGTGCACCTTAAGGGCTGTGCACATCCTTTCAAACTCCTCCCAACCTGCTGACTTCACCTTGGCAGCCCTCTAAAACTGTACATAGACACGTCCAGAGTCGGTAGAGTGAAAGAGATTGCAAAAAGTCTGACGGGAAGTGGAACGGAATGCCTTTGGAACAGGTGGTGACACACACACACACACACACTACAGTCCCAAAAAGTGCAATGACTCAACGAGTTGGGCGCGAAGAGGGACCTTGGGCCTTGTTCACATCTGGCCGCTTGGGGCAATACCGGTATTGTGTGTCCAAAAGGATTCTGTGTCAAAAGCGACCATGGTTGTTGGATTTGCTGCAGTGTGTTTGTGCGAAACGAAACGACAGGGCCTGCCAAAGAACTCCCTTGTTGATGTAGATGCGTGAGAGATCAGTTTTCATCATTGGCCCACTCTGAAATCAGATGACACTCAGGTCCAATTCAACCTCCTTTGCAAGGACGTTAATGCCAAGGTTGTCGGATAGCCCAGTGCAGAATGCAAAACAGCAGAAAACTCCACAATCCAGCAAAGGCAAAGCAAGGCAGCTGAAGCGCAGAGGCAATCACTATTACACTTGTCCAACCGTTTGCGAGGAGTGCAACAGTGCTTAGCAGGCGGCAGGTAGCACTATTAGGTTGGAGGCCACGCTATTAGGTTGCAGGCCATCGGTGGAAGCCATCGCTTCTAGGTTGGAGGCCATTGCTCTTAGTTCGCGATTTCTTTGTGACAGGGCAACTAGCTTCGAAAAGACCTTGGCTTGCCTGGTGCAAGGTCTGGACGAAGGAAGTGTTAGGTGCGCTGAAAAAAATTTAGGTGCTGTGTCATCATTGGTTATTCGATTTAGGGCCGAAACCTTTCACAGTTTGGGAGACATGAAGGCTTTGAACCTGTGAAAGAGGTCTCGGTCTTGATGATTCTTGATGGCCTTGATGGCCTTGATGGCTGTTCAATTTCAGTGCTTGAAAGGCTTGCGCTGCAAATGGTCTACAGCAAGGCCACTGCACAGAAGATGAAAGAGGTCTTCAAGGTCCACTGGACAGGGCCTCCCCTAGTAGCGATGGCCTCCAGCGTTTTGCATGATCGCACGATCCCTCCACGAGCACCTGAGCCTCTGGAGGAACGACAAAGATGCCGGCAGAAGGGAGAAGATTTACCACCTGACTGTGACCCGTTCCTGCTGAAGACCTTTAAGAAGCATGGCTTTGAATGAAGAGAAACATGAGGCATTCAAAGAATGTGGTAGTTTGGTGTGTCCCAGCTTGAAGTGAGCAATCAAGTGCGCTAACAAGCCGAGAACCAAAATCAACTGCTTGAGAAGTTGCAGACATATGAATACCGTGATTGGTAGAAAGGCTGCAACTGAACACTTGGTATGACAGCACAATTCAACAGAGCAGAGTTTTCAGAATAGAAGAGAGATTGGCCTTACATGATAATGACAGCTATGTGAGATTACTTGCACAAAAAGGGCTTTGGGAGGTTCATACAACCCTACCCAACGGCAGCAAAAACAAACCAAGTATAATACGAGGCACACTGGCACCGGCAGTGTTGTGGAGGATTCTGGAACCCTTCTCTTGAGGAGATAGAACTGTAAACAATCTGTGACAGAATCATAACAATCATGTCAATATGTCTTGGAGGATGCCTGCCTGGGAGGACACTATTTCACATTCTTTTGTTGAGACCCTCTGCAAACAGATCACCTGCGAAAGGAAGCGCGTTGCCATCGCCAACCAGTACTTTGCAGAGGTTGTCGAAGAATGGCATGCTGTCAAAAGCTCCCCGGGTCCTCGCTGCGTGGCTCGACTGACCAACTGTTCGAATTCTGGCTCACGTCAACCTCAACCCTACATCTGTACATTGCTACTCACAATCCAGGAGTTTAATATAATGGAACATGACCTGCCTGCACTTTTCTTTTGTGTGAGTATTCCAAATTCCAACAACACTTGTGATTTATATGCCGTTCACAAATTACAACTCTATCCTTCAGTCAGAGTCAATGACTTGCCTTGCTTCGCGTTGCCTTATTTCCTGACAGAGGTCATGGTGGAGTATCCAATGCCGTTCGATTGGCAGTGCGACGTACAAGTCTACGAAGCACCGCAACAAAGGCCCAAATAGAGCTATTTCCCTTAACATCTAGGGAACATTTTGTCCAGGGAGGGTTCTTCTGCTGTGTCCTTGTATGTAGCAGCTTCTCTTACTACTCGTCTTCCTGACGACCAAGCTTTCTTCCAAGCGTTCCACGGCCTAAACTTCACGAGATTGTGTTTCGTTGATCTTTGTTGGACATGCCAACTTGTCAAAGAATGCACTGCAAGGTGCATACACCGGTCCCTCTCTTAGCAAAGCTTTCTAAACTTGGCTGGTTTCCCATGGTTTCACTATGTTTCACATGGTTCTGTTTCTCACTCAGTTCAGCTGAGTCTGGTGGATGGCATGCCAAGCTGCCGCCTGGAGGAGATCATGGAGTTGGTTGTTGCAGCTGTGTCTGAAGGCGACCTGAGTGAAATGTGAAAGGACGTAAAAAGATGACTACCCAGTACTCAAAAAGCATTCTTGCTAGATCTTGTTAGTAGGAAGAGGTAGTCAGTCCAAGACATTCAGCACAGCATGCACATTAGTTTCAAGAAACATTCTTGGTCCTTACAAAGGACTAGAACAGGATCATTTTAGACATACGACAAGAATAGTACTGTAACATGGAATTGATTTGTTGAACCTGGTCTACTATTCTAACCAATCTGATCTATTTACCCTCAACAACGCTGATGGTTGCTGCTAATGACAATTGAAGTGATTTCTTTTTCAGCATCTCACGTTGTTAGCTTCCCAGGATGTGAAAATGTAAGAAAGAGTTTCTTGCAGTAGCAGCACGCAACTGACATCCAAGATGGACCAGCGCAACGTGCGGGTGTCAAAGAAGGCGACCGGCTGATCAGCATTGGTGACTTGGTACTACTTATTATAGGCTGATAGACTCACATGATAATACTCTCATCAACGCCGCAGCTTTAGCCGATTCACCCAGGTATGCGCTCTGACTCTTGGAATTCGAAGCTTGGCTAGGAGCAAAAATCTACTAGTAACAAAGAGCATTGCTACTAAGCTACTAGTAGTTCCTGGCATTACTACTAGGAGCAAAAAGCTACCAGCTTTGCAACGAGATTGCAAGACTCGCTAGAGCGTTTGACCAAGGATAGAGGCCAATTGGGCTTACCCGAGACAGCCAGTCCAGACCTTGGCCTTTGAGGCCAGGTTGAAGGAACCCGAATGGAAGGCATGTTGAAGCCAAGCTTTCAGCGAGAGAGTCATTTTAACTGTTGATTTGGACAGCGATTAATCTCGTAGGTTCGTGATCCTCTGGATGATGAGGGTGGTTTGTCCAAGCTGCTACGTGCTGCTGGTGGTCCTGGGCAGGGTGAAGAGGAGCAGATGCACCATGACGCGCCCAGAAAGGCTTATGAAGAGAAGTAGAAACGCCTATATACAAATTTAAACCTTGCGCAGGATTTCTCTGCGTTTGTTTCCATCCTGGGTAAGCCTGGATGCGACACTTCATTGGAGCGGGCAGCATGGGAGGCTTGATTGAATTCGTCCCCTGACCGTGACCATTTCACGATGTCTTCGGTGGACCGCTTTAGGCGGTGCAAAGCTTTCAATGCCGGAGAAGGCAGCGCTGCACTCGCCAGGAGGTGAGACGTGAGATATGTAAGCTAGGAGGTTCTTTTTTTCGTTGATTTCTATAGCAATGGTTTCAATCTAATAGTAATGGCAATGGCCTCCAACCTACTAGCAATGGCATCCAATCTACCAGCGATGGCCTCTAACCTCCTAGCGATGGCCTCCAACCTACCAGCGATTGCCTCCAACCTACTAGCATTTCAGAATTGAACTCATGTATCTCCCATTCAGCTTTGTTTGAAGAGCTGCTTTGGAAAAAAGAAGTCCCTTAGATCCTTTTCATGGATTGTCACCGTAAAGGGGGCTCGCTGAGTCATTTGTTCCATCTCAGGTACTGGTGGCCTTGCAGATGTCAGGCGCCGCACCCTCGCAAGATGCAGCAAATTGCCGGGCTCCCACAGAGACACCGAGACTAGCAGATGCAGACAGAGACAGAGTACTGTCAAGCGCTGATGCTCACTGTGCTGTTGATTTGAACCATTTCAGGGAACCTGAACCTCTAGATTGCAAGGCCTCATTGATGCTTTGATCGAAGCAGAAGCAGAGCATCAGTCTCAGAAAAAACAACACTATGGATATTTGCCAAACTCCACGTTTTCGAATCCCACACACTTGTTGCTCTGAGGCAGCAGCACCAGAGTGCTGAAAGTCGATCACTCCCTGTGACACTTTCTCCATCTTTCGCGCACAGCGGAGCAGGCCAAAGGGAGACTATTCCAACTCTGAGCTTCCTGTGGCGCGATGCAGATCTTTTGTAGGGCAACTTTGGCAGGTTTTTCAGCTTTGCCGGAGCGCATGCGGAGTTGGTGCCCAGTCTGTGAGGCCGAGAGCAAACAAGTTGGTGTCACCTGAAGTGCATTGTGCAAGACTCTGCATAACATTTTGTGAGGCATGTGGTAGTCGTGGCCACACCAAGACAGCACCGCATTTAGTTTCACAGTGCTCCAGAACAATGCGTTATTTGAATCGCACTGCAGACTTATCTTCTCACACACAGATGCTTTCGATGTGCAAAAAAGCTTGTGCAATAGGTACAGGGCAAAATGCAACAGAAGCTTGCCAAGCTTCTGGGGTGGTGTTTGCGGAGGAGAAGGCGAGCTGCGAAGCCCGCAACACATGGAAAAGCAGCCAACTCAAATGCAGGCCACTCTAAATGGCAGTGCCCAGGACTTCAGCAGGAGAGGCCTGTTTTTGGCCAATTTGTGTTGGCAGCTTGTGCACCTGCCTCCCAGAGAGCAGTGCAGAGGGTGAATTAATGACTCCACCCTTCCATTTTCCATACATTCCACTCCACCCTAGCTTCCTTATCTTCACTTTCAACCACTGACCGATCTTGTTCTTCATTCTCAGGTTTTTGCCTTCTTGACTTGCTTTCCTGACTGGCTTGTATATTGTAATTCTCGAGCCAGGAGCCTTAACCCCAGAAATTGAAACACAGAAAAGCCAAGACGAGAAACGGCAACAGGCAGGCACAAGAATAGAAGTAAGTGGTCAAGGAATAGCGGAAGAACCACATATTTTGGTACATGTAAGAGATGCAAACATGCAGGACCGGACTGAATCTTGCAATAGAGAGAGGCATGTTGCACTTTAGAGAAGTCGTGCTAGGATCCTTGGGGCGTGCCACGATGCTGGCGATGTCTTGGTCGTCTTCCACGGATTTCTCTCCAAGGTCTGATGTAGATGGGTGAAATAGTTATGCCTCACACACACTCTGACATTGGTTTGCTGTTAACTCAATTCCCACGTTGAGAAGGAAGGTGAGGGAACAGGAAGGTGAAAGAGTCGGCGACAACAGTATGGTTTAAAACTTGTTTTCAGTGGCACTCAAAGCGGCGGCTAAGCTGCTGCAGATCTGCGGAGGGAAACCTGTTTTGGGGTGGTAGCATGAA